ACCCACAACCTTTGGGTTATGAGTCCGACTCTCTAACCATTAGGCCACAACTTCCCCTAGTCTTTAAGCGCTCATATTAATGTTTCTGGCAGCTAGGCTTATTAAACCACGAAGAGAGGCAGGTGAGGTTTATAATGTGTACCTCCTACTTTTCACATAATTTGTCCTCCCCTGGTTTCAGCTGTTAGCCTCCTCCAAGTGTTACTCCAGTGTTTCTAATTATCTTTATGAAGATGGAGACATCCAATGGTGAGGCAGTAGAAGTGTTAAATTGATTTACTATACCGCTGCTTTGCTGTAGCTGACTGAATGAAGATGACTGTAGTAATCGCAACCTTCTGCAAGCCCCACATTTGCTGCAGATATCCATGTTAAGGGTTCTTTTGTGTTGTGCAGTGAATGGATGGTGAGATACGATCCGGCGCAGTGATGCATGAGGCATTTTTATTACAGTGTAACCGTAGCCGCTCGGCCTCTCCCTGCACACGATCATAAACGGATCCGAGCGTCACGTGATGCAGTAATTCTCTCCCCTCCCCTCCCCTCCGGCGATCTTCTCCGTCTTCACCATCGCATGCTCTCTCGCTTCACCTCGTAAGATGAATGCCTGCATTAACTTTTGAGTGCCTTTACTTTCTGATAGAAGCCAGTTGGCACTATAGCAGCAGAACACTATATGATTTGTTAGGACTAGGTGAGATACCTAAAAAAAAATCATATTCATATATGGGTATGATTAGAAATATTGCATATTGTGCATTATCTTATATTATTAAATTATTTACTATTATAAATGTATTTTCTATTTATATACTACAATAGATTTCTAGCCTTTCTGATAATATTTTAAAAAGTTTATTTTTATTGTTTAAAAAAATTAAATGGGTGTAATTTTTAAACGTATTTTTAATTATTTTTTTTTGTCTTGAAGTTTTTTTTTTTAAATGAACATGAGGATTTCATGTTCATATTTAAGGAGATATTAAATTTATAAGATTTTAAAATATAATAATGCAAAATAATTAATGTATTTTAAAATATGTAAATAATGTGTCTCTGTCTGTCTAGTCTGTCTGTCTGTTTTTCTGTCTGTCTGTCTGTCTAGTCTGTCTGTCTGTCTAGTCTTGTCTTTCTAGTCTGTCTGTCTGTCTGTCTGTCTGTCTAGTCTGTCTGTCTGTCTGTCTGCCTGTCTGTCTAGTCTGTCTGTCTAGTCTGTCTGTCTAGTCTGTCTGTCTGTCTGTCTGTCTGTCTGCCTGTCTGTCTGTCTAGTCTGTCTGTCTGTCTAGTCTGTCTGTCTGTCTGTCTGTCTGTCTGTCTAGTCTGTTTGTCGGTCTGTCTCTGTCTGTCTGTCTGTCTAGTCTGTCTGTCTGTCTGTCTGTCTGCCTGTCTGT